GACTGGGTTCGAGTCACATTGAGAAAATCTCATTGAGACTTGAACCTACCTCGCAAGCCAGGAATTTTATCACGTTTGTAAAAACCCTGGTTACCGCTGGTCATGTGACTCCCAGAAAATTGATTGCCTAAGGGGGGAGGGAAAAGTATCACATGTTTCCACTTTTGCACTTTACACTTCGATTGCAAGGAGTGAGTATTCTGTACCGATCAACTTTGAGAATCACATATTCGTCAAAATACTTGCTACATTTTATTTCTGTTTGCTCTTGAATTATAAAAAATATGCTAAACAGATTTTTATAGCAACATCAAGGAATAAAATTGTATGATCATATGCTCTATTGTTCTTATGTTCTCTCGTGGCACACTTATAAGTTATAAAAGGCACTTTCATTTCACACGTTTCTGCTCTGCCTTTGGTTCACATTATTTATAATCTTATAATATGTTACTAAATTGTTATCTGGAAATGGTATAATTATAAACTTTGCATTGATTTTATACTTGTTAATTTCAACAGAGGTCTCTTGAGGGACTGCATGTTTATAGGTCGTAGCGCCTTTGAGGTCTTTCGGCAAGGCAAAAGGCAAAGGGCATTTGGACACAAGCCAAATACTCAAATGGACATTGAATGCCCATTTCATTCATTCTAAAACTTTTTATAGACTGTTTATATGCCATTGATTTTATTTAAAAATATTGATAATTTATATTAAACACTGGGTATTGTAGGAATGGGGTGTACATAAAGGTACAAAAATTGTTAGAGAATCTACAGCAGTCAGCACAGAATGGACAACTTGCATGTTAGACTAAATTTTAGTCTAAGTAAAGAGAAGGGAATCAAACACAACAGTTAAAAAGAACATAATGAAATTAGTAAAATTGCAAAATTTGGTTGCGAAATGTTGTAAAATACAGAAAATATAGCCTTGCGGAGTTATATTGAGAATTATAAAGAGCTGGAATATGGGAACTATTAAATGCTCAGTCCCATACGCCGGAATTTCTTATCAGTGGGAGATTTTCATCATGGTGATTGACATGAATGCAGAATCTAATTACACTTACCCCCAAATGTCCTTAATCCAATTAAACCCTAATAAGCCCCTTCCATTGGCAAGTAAAATTGTCAGACCTGGGCAAAAATGATTATGTCGAGTACATTGCTGGGTTAACCAGACACATTCATTTGGTAGATCAAGCTAATTAGTTAATTCATTAATATGCAAGACTCCACCCATAAATTCATAAATTTGGTGCTTTTGGGGTCATTGCAGCTTAATGGGTTAATTAACAGTCAATTGCATCCACTTATGTATGGACTGAAGTCCACCATATGTTCCATCCAATTGCATAATACTTGACAATTCAATTTAAAGGTAATATTATGGCCAACTTTGCAACCAAACCTCTATCCCTTAATGTCACTTCATATCCATATATATGATTTGCCAACTATTAATATAAGCAAAATATTAAAGGGGCAGTGTCACGGTTTTTCTGCGCATCCAAAATATGTGTGAACTTGAAAAACTGTCTGCCAACAATTAATCAAGTTAGGAGTGAAATATGATATACTATTTATAATGCAGGACATCCTTGCTTTGTTTTAAAAATTGAAGGCTGTTGCATCTTTTCCAATCATGTAGCATTAATTTTAAGCATTCTTTGCACCGTTTATTTTAGCCAATCAACACCGTGACACTGCCCCTTTAAATCTGCCTGCAGATTACAGGGACTGGCTCTTCACAAAAATTATTTGATGCCCATGCCAGCTCATTGGCATGACTGAGATGTGGCAGCATTCTTGTTAAGATGTCCCAAAGCCCTAGCTGGATGATAGATAATAGTTAATTTATTAGTAATTATAGACACCTGACCAGTCCAAGGTATAACTATATGCATATATGCATCCAATAATTCACAATATTAATTAGAAACTACTGTAAGCTAGACAAAATCATTTACATATACAAAGTAATTAATGAAAATGTGGATTATGCTGGTTATTTTTCTGTCTTACAACACTGTACGGTATGTGTCCCTGTAGTTATACTTACCTGTATAAGCATTTAAGCTATTTTTACATTTTCCTATTTTTCTCTCATAAGAATAGATCCTTTCACTTGGGCGTGATTCAATTCTTGTTCTGAAATGAGCAGCTTCGACCGACAGTAAGTAATCAACTTTATTTTTCCATGTTTATTTGTTTACTTCAGAATACTCTTTCTTCCTGCCAGTGAGCTGCATATATATATATATATATTAAGATGAAAATGTTCTAGAGTGTGTATTATATAATTTCCATACCCAGCGCAAGCAGAAAGATGTTGTCTGCCGCGGCTGGGTCTCGAACCCGCGACCTTCGAATTACTAGATCGACGCTCTACCTACTGAGCTACACGGTCAGACGGATTTAAGACTGGAAATTATGAAATATATACTGAATGTCATAAACATACTCGTTTATATTATTTCAGCATCGAACAACACTAGTTCTGCAAGTGTTATGTTAGTTGTGTAATTGTACACTCTGTACTATGTTAAAATGAAAATGTTCTAGAGTGTGTATTATATAATCTCCATACCCAGCGCAAGCAGAAAGATGTTGTCTGCCGCGGCTGGGTCTCGAACCCGCGACCTTCGAATTACTAGATCCACGCTCTACCTACTGAGCTACACGGTCAGACGGATTTATACGGTGGCCCATACGGGCCAACCCTTCTCCGTAGAAACTTGCACCTTCTCCGTACAAATGTGTTGTTATTCCATGGAAATCGAACTTCTCCGTGGAATATTGCAGTTGTTCTGTCACGGAAAGCCTGTTCTTCGTACAAATATGAGCAGCTGGGAAATTTGTTGCGCATGCGCCAGATTTCCATTGAAACTTGAAGATTTCCCCGAAGAAATAACGAGATGTTCGTGGTTGTTGTATATTTTTGAATGCCTGTTTAATGTTTATAATTTTTTGCTCGAGACAAAGTAAAATGTACTCTACGTTTCCAGTGTATAGAATATCTCGTTTGTGTTTGAACAGCAATAGAATATTATAAACTTGACACAAACAAGAAGACATTTGACACGCTAATTCTGCAGTCATGCCTGCCAATCGTCGCAAGCTTGACTGCCTTGTCAAAAGCAAAACAAGTACGAATTTGGGTTCAAACAGAAAGACGTTCAATGTTAATACCACTAACATATATTCTATAGAAATACGGGTGGTTTAAAATGTTTTCAATTGAATTTTTAAAGCTTTTATCTATCGACATGATAATCAAACTGTGAAAATGCCGGCTTTTGTTGACGCTTGCGAATGCAGAATAACTTCCCGTAAACAGAGCATTTCTACACAAAACTCTCGCTTAGTCTTCTAATGCACTTGTATGTTCGGTTCTACTAGTTAAACAAGGAAAATATCCAAGAAACTTGGTAAATTATCGTTGTTATAAAAACATTTCAGTGCTGAGGCAGTACAAGGACTTAAGGCCAAGGGCAAGGTCAAGTTGTCGATTTCATTACATTTTCAGTAGTTCGAATGTTTTCGAACTCTTATCTCATACAAGAGCAGTAAACGCACGCATTTCAAAGCGAAATTAGACGCAAAGGGGCAATTTTTCAGCAAAATTCATTGTTAAATTATGTTTCCTATGTGCCTTGGGAGCAAAAAAATATGATTTTAAATTTGGAGATTTCGGTAAATTTTTTTGCAATTTGGCCTGGTATTGCACCCTACCTATGTACTAACTGTGCTGTAAAAGTAATCAAATATACTATTTTTAATTTCCTTTCATTGAAAGGATCTACTATTGTGGACTAAACTAAATTTTAATCAGCATACAAGGCTGCAAACAACAGCCAAGAATTAGCTGGGTAGTTTGCAAACTTTAAAAATAATTGGACCTCAAACTTTGATCTCCAGAAGTAAACAAATAGACAATACTGCGAACATAATCCAAGTTTTGATCACGAGGGGCAATTTTTAGATGTAAAAAAACTTGTTTAAATTACATATCAAACTAAGGCAAAACAAAATTTGGTATTAAATTTTTGGTGAAATCGTCAAAGTTTTTTGCTATCCGCCCACACTTCTACACCCCCTCTCCCAGGATATTCTACCTCAAAAAACAGTTTTCTACAGAAACTATGCTTTTTTATCGGAAAAATGTTTACTTTTCTCAAAACATACATTATAAACACGGAAACCTTAAATATTTAAATAATTTTCATACCTTTTTGGGACTGAAAAAAGCAAAATTTGATTCATTATCCCACTTTTTAAAATATATGTGACAAAGTTGCTTCAAAATCACCATCACGCAGTAGCATGTTTATTTACCCTCATCCTTTTGACTGAATAAAGTTTATCTTTTTGAAAAGCTATTTGTTTTATAGCTCTTGGTTAGCAGTTTATGTTTATGTCGATTTTGGCACCCATGAGACCAACAAGTTGTGGTAATCCGCGAATGAAAACTGATATTCGAAGAGCACAAAAGCCAACTCCTAGCTATGTAACTTTATCGCCTGAATTTTGAATCAATCCAAAATTAAAATGCTGATAATGTAGATGCTTTCCATACTTGAGATGTTAGTGAAGTTTTTCCTACAATTTAATTTCCTTGATCGCCGTCTTAAAAATACAAAATCATCAGTTGAAATTTCACTCGTGTTGTTTTTTCAAATTTTCGATTTTTTGTAAAATATCGCGTGCGCCAGCAATTTCTCTGCACAGCGACAACAAATTTCCCAGCTGCTACAAATATGAGCAGCTGGGAAATTTGTCTGAGCATGCGCGAGTGAAAATTGCGTGGCGCTCGCGGGAAATTTAAAAATCACAATAAACAAAGATGGCGGCAAACTTTTTTAAATGCCTTTTGCCTTTTCTCCTGCTTATAATTCACTTAGTTTCTTCAGTTCCAACTAAAAAAATTCCTAAGTGTATAGTTTGCCACAAATATTTAGACAAAAAATTGGAAACGACACGAAAAAATCTTCCAGAACGTCATGACCTCGAAGCTTGCTTCGGCGTGTCGTACGACGAGCCAGGTATACTTTGTTCGGCCTGCCGTAGAGCTGTTTATCGTTACAAAAAGACAGGAAAAACATTCTTCCATGTAAGTATCTTTATTCTTATACAATTAAATATTATTCTTTAAACATATACCTTGTAAACTGCATTTAACTTACTGACAGTCAGCTAACTTCAGTTGGTCCCATTGTACTGTAGATAATTTAACCCTTTAAAATATATACAGAATCTAAATAATGTACATTGGTTTTTAATTGTATTTCTATTTTATTAAAGAATTCTATTATACATGCATTATAAGGCTTGATAAAAACAATCAAGGCTGTAAACATACACCTACAGTAATTACTATAATTTAATTTACAGCTTGTAGTGGATTCTGAAAGCAAGAGGGTTGGTAGGCCAGTCAAAAGAAAGCTACAATTTCCCAAGAAAGCACTTGATAATAACTCTGAATGGATGGAGGAATACACCTGCTTTGGCATCATCAAAAGATCTTCCAATGGTGAAGTTATTTTACCTCCTGGGTTGTTTGAAGAAATCGATGAAAGCTTCAGAAAACTTTCTGAAAGTATGTCTAAATAAAATGAATGTACATTATAGAATGTAAAGGGATTATAACAGTAATAGGTAGTGCAGGCACTGTATTAAAGAGGAAAAAATGGTTTCTGCCTAGGGTGGTCTTTAACAAAGTTAAAATGAAAAATACTATAATTCTGTTTCTTGCAGGATGTGACCTTAAATATGAGCTTGACAGGGTAAAAGAGAAAATCTATGAGGAATTCATAATACAAAAACACCCCCCAATTTACAACCCAGATCAATTCGCTGAATTTTGCCACTCAGCCGGAGCCGAGAATATATTCAATCACATTCTAATGTCTGTTACCAGTGAGCGGCACTCAAGCTCCCGACAGGAACTCAACAAAAGAAGAACAGTTTGCATAATTTACAAAATGTGTTACTGCCTTAGCCAACTCTGCAACATCATGCAAGTAGACCATGCAATATATTTAAACTCCAATAATGTCAACCAAGAAGGTATGAATACCGAATTCCAACTTGGAAATACCTGCAGCCGAAAAACAAGCAATATCAAGCTCAACAAGTTGTCAAATGATCACCACAACAACCTAGAAACATTTTTTTCTGAAGCTATAAAGAATGAATGGCTACTTGTGCTCATTATTGATGATTTCACAAAAATCCACACCAATAGGCGCCCAAACCATCAACAATTTTCAAATTGTATGAGCATGTGTACCATTGTCATTAAGGCATTCAAATCCCTCAAAGCTATCAAAAAGCCAAAAAATATTTCTAAGATCCATCATCATGAGGGTGTAAATATCAAAGCCTGCATAGATGCTATAACAGCTCCAGAGTCAATGGCACTGCTTTCCAGCACCTACGCAAGTACCATGCCTCATTGGTTAACAAAGTCATTTTTTACCCCTGACCTAGAAAGGCACATTCTAGAAGAGCACCTTTATTGTGATGACAGCGGCGTGCGACACATGAGGACGATGGATAACCTTCATTTGATAAACTTTATGGAACTGCAGCTGAAGTCCAAGGAAGAGTTTGCTACTGCATATGATATGGCCTTAGCTGGTGGTTTGAAAAAATATCTAAAGAAGTTTGTTGTGGTCCAGCCTGGAGATTGGCCTAGTCAATTTTATGGTAGGCAGATAGTATATGAATATGTCACCCGTCAGACAAAAAAATTTCAGATAAATTCTGGAAGCATTACCTCCAATGGTCCAACTTCAAGTACACCACGCCAACCAATGTTGAATGTTCCTGCGCCATCTATAACATCTGTTGTTCCAACCATGGGCCCACTCCATATCTCACTAAACAGCAGAGAACATATTTTCATGAGTTTCAAACCATTCTTTAGGAAAGTGTACTGTCACCTTTTCCCAAGATGTAAATTGGCAGAAACACCCAAGCCATGGAGAATAAATTTGATTCTAGAAATAGTTTATGGTGGTTGGACCCTTATCAGAGAAAGAGCTAAAGTTTTGTTCCAATATTCTAAAGATCTTCAATATGGAACACTTCTTAACCTTCTGGATAACTACCTCCCACTTGTTTTGTCAATTTACACAATAACTTTTAAGACAAATAACTTTAAGGAATATTACAATGCTATGGTTAGAATATGGGTGATGTTCGTGTGCCTCAAGCGTCGTCATTACAACAAAGCACCACTTGTATGGTTGTCCTGCACCAATCACTGGGCTAAAAATTACAGTGAACTGTATGATCATTTCTGCAAGTGGCCAACAATATTTGACGAATATCCTGTGGAAAATACACACAGTATTCTCCGGGCACAGACGAAACCATCAGACACGGCTGAGAAACTGACAAGTAGGGCCAAAAGTATTTTTGAGTCCAAACAAAGACAAGCCAACTTCCGTTCTATATTTACCCCTCCCAAGCAGTTCAATTTCTCCCAACAGCAGCTACAGTTTCTAAAAGCTAAATGTGCACAATTCTTGACAAGCATACTTTCAATGATCCACAGCAAACCTGGATCAGCTTCCCTGAGCACAGAGAAGAAAACAAGATATGTTTGCTTACCTGATATATTTGGAATGATAAAGATGAAATACATAATTCTTCCACTCGGTTTTAATGCTACCACAGTTCCAAATAAAAACTGCAGATGTGACAATAAATCATGCACCGTTCACAATCCAAATGAACCATGGCAGCTATTCCAAGGATGTTGGCACTCGTTTCACAAAACATGTTTGAATGGTACGCCTTCCTGTCCTTTATGTAAGGAATTGTTGACCAAACAAGTTCAGGAATTAGGACTGGTGGCTAAAGAGGCAATTTTACATCCACGAAATGACAGAGTAACCAGTACCAATGACTGCACAGATGCAGACACGGAAGACACCACCACCATGAAAGCACCAGAAATTCCAGAATGTGTCGACCTGCAAAAAATCAATGA